ATGGCAGGCATAGGAGAAGTCACAGTGGGGGTTATGTGCATACTGAGATACCCATTTGTCCTCCTATGGCTCTCACGGTATGACAAAGATAAAAACACACACACAGACACACAGCCATCCCAACACTTGTTTTTACAACTACCCACCTAGTTCAGTGGGGACCCAAAGCGACTCAGATGATGGTAAGAGACATGAGTGTCTCCCTGTGGGCATCAATGACGTGCACATTTTTCTTGTATACCTGGGTTCATTTTTCAAGCATCATATGGTTTCTCAATCCTACTCAGTGGGACGTGCCCTGGTGGGCTGGCCGCAAGCACTGAAGGAGGAGCATCATTTCCTGGGAGGACTGGACACTTGGTAGCCCTCTGATTCCGTGGACTGGAGTGCTTTTGCTGCACGCAGATTGCCCTGGATGTAAGCATACTTTGCCCTGTGTGCTGACCCTGTCTTTAGCATGTGGACCTTAAAGGACCTAAGTGTCCACATGCCTTCAGTGGCATGCCGAGTCATTCTTATCAAGTTGAGTGTCTGTTCTTGTTGCTCAGTGGCTAAAGTGCTGATGGTCCTTGAGGTAACTGGCCTGCCAGTGCGCTGCCCGTGGTGCTCAGCTTTCGGCCTCTTCAAATGTGCTTGGATCGATGACGACTCCCCAGTAAATATTCCTTGGAAAAGCTGAACAAAACGAGTAAAAACTCCCTATCATCGCTTTCAGCGAAACTGAGGTCCAGCATGATGCCTCCAACAGAGACTCTGGGAGTGAGGGTCACTCCAGTTATATACAGTTTGCCTACCAAACCCGGTGTCATGATTCAGTGACCTCCCATCTCAAGAGACACAGACACATGTCTTCAGCCAGAGGTGACCTGGTAGCAAAGGATTTGGTTGACTGGTCCCCCTCTGGTGACTTAGCATTTTTGCAGCCAGGCTTCTGAGTCAGAGGATGGGTGAGCTCCTCACATAGCACTGTTTACATTTTGGGTCTTTGAGTAGAGTTCTTCGTGTAGTTAAGCAGGACCCAGGGTCCTCCTTTCCCTGGTGAGGACACAGGAATCAACCTTTTGCATGACCTGTAGTTGCTGCTGAGGCACTGAGATCTGGGAGCCAGAGTGGAGCAGCACAGAGGGCACAGCTGGCAGCACCTCTTGTCCTGCCCCACATGCAGAAGCCTGCCACAAGGTGGCCCAGCATTATCTCCAGCCTAGTGCTGGGTCACAGTGTTTGGGCATCGAGGTGCCTCATGGTTCTGAGCTTGAATGACAGCCTTGGCAAAGCCACAGAGGGCTTAGGTGGCCATCCATGCCACAGACCATCTCGGTACTCAGTGAATGTCTCTGGGCAGCAGAGTGTTCTGTCCTAGGGTACGGTTTTAGTGTGTGTATGGGACTCCCAAAACAGGCCCCTGCACTTCAGATGTTTGGGGTAGGGTTGAGGGGTTACACGGTTCCCTCCTTCATGCCTACAAATGTACCCACAATTGGCAGCCTCTTAGGCTTCAGCCTCTCAGAGAATTAATTGTCCTTATTCTCTGTACTGATTTCCAGAGAGGTCTTGTCATGGAAATGTTGCTAAAAAATTCATGTGCTTTTGGCGTGCTTAGCTTGTGTGGGACTTGGCCTCCATGGAAGTCCCTCCTAGTCCCATTCCCACTCTGTAATCTCTGGCTCAGAGACATGGATAGCCATTCTCATCGGGTAACTTCTGCGTCTTTCCATATTGGAGGTGCTCTGTGTGTCAAGCTGTCCTCATTTGGGTTGGTGAAGTGCTCCAGTTGCCTTAGCCCGTTCTCTGTCTCAGCATGGCAAGGACTGCATGAAACTGTGACCCCACATGGAGATTAGTACTGGTCGTGTTCCTGGAGAGCTCGTCAGTGCACATGTGCCAATTCCCATGAAGACTGTGTTTGTTCCCGTGTTGCAGGCATGAAGTGAGCTGTTCTGGGACTGCACATTCTGTGAAGGCTGTGTAGTGAGGCATGTGGGGTGAGGCATGCCATGACAGGGTTGGGGATGAGCCTTTCTTGCCATCAGTGCTGATCCTGGCGCGTCCTGATTGTAAACCACTGTTTTCTTAGAACATGTCTCATTGAGTCATTGGTCCTATTCATTCTGTCTGTATTTCCGTCAGCACGACCTCCCCTCACCAAACTCAGCAGCAAGTACCAGGTCTGGCTAGCAGCTGGGCCACGTGACCTAACCAGGGAACAGAGCTCAAGGACAAAAGCCACAAGGGACTCTGTTCATTCGCTCAGTGGGGGCACAGAGAACCAGTGGTCTGGAGGCCGAGTGTGTGCTGAAGGTTGTCACCCCTTGAGAGGTGGCTCTAGTGCTTTTAGGCACATGTGTCAGGCTGGTGTCCTGTCCGAGTGGAGGTTTCTGTGACTGGTGTTAGTGGGTAGTCAGTGCACACCACCTGGGGGAGTACCCACAGACCAGTCCTACTGCTGCCCTTACAGATCCTCGGAGGAAGCGTATGCACACGTGTTACGTGGTCTAGCATTCACCGTGCCTACGAGTTGCACAGACTCTTGTTCAGGATTTTAGGACCCATCAGAAAATAAAGGTCACATCCTCTTTTATAATTCCCTAGTGTGCCCCGGGAGGATGTCAGGGTATGAGAGGAGTATGCAGTTGTCAGTCCTTCAGGTGCTGAGGTACCTATGTGTCCTCCCAGGAGCCAGGCACATGCACTTATGTAGCAACACAAGCATTACCACAGACACACATGTATACAGAACACACAGACTCACACACACCCCAACTCCTGTTTCGAGGTTTTCAGAGTGCTATGAGGACCCGTAGTTATTCAGATAACGGAGGTGATTGAGAGAGATGGGAGGTGCTCTTCCGGGCGATAGTGATAAGGAGGTATTTCATGCTGTATACATGGGTTTGTTTGTTTGTTTGAAGGTTTTGCCATAGAGCACATGCACTTGTCAGAGTGAGAAAGACAATAAGAGAGAAAGTGAGAAATCACCCCTTCCCCCTGGGTTGATGGCCATGCCACAATCCCTGCTCCTCTATTCTTCTCTGAGGATTTGGGGCATGCATTCACATGTGCCTAGTGTGATTTTTTTTTTAAGCCACCGGGTCTGGGACTCAAACCCTTGTCAGCCGTGTGAGAGTCCAGTGACTTAAACACCACGCCACTTGCCCATGCCTCTGGGCTCATTTCTTAAATGTGCATATAATTTCCCTACTTAGGGTAGGTGCCGTGGCAGCCTCACCATGCTCTGAAGGAAGAGCTCCATTTCCTGGGAGGACTACAGGCCCTTGGCCGTCCTGTGATTGGGCATCTCGGCTGTACTTGTTGCAAGTGGATTGCTCTGAAAGGTAAGAATGATTTTACCAGATGTACTGATACTGTCTTTAGCATGTGACGGCTCTGGAGGCCTAGGTACCCACAGGACATCAGTGGCATGCAGAGCTGCCATTTCTGAGTGGACTGCTGTTCCTCTTGCTCAGTGGCAGGCGTTGAGTTCTCCAGCACGTTGCTGGTCTGTGAGGTCATTGGCCTGACCAATGTCCTGCCTGTGATGTTCATCTGGCATCCCTTCAAATGTGCTTGGATCGATGATGACTCCACAAAAAACATTCCTTGGAAAAGCTGAACAAAATGAGTGAAAACTCACAACCGTCTCTCATCAGAACTGAGGTCCAGCACAATGCCTCTAGTGGGGAGTGTAGGAGTGAGGTCACTTACCACTCTTTACACACGCATTACACTAACTGGGCATCATCCAATGGGAGTGTCCTAGCCTATGGAACTTTGTTTGATGTGCTCAGTAGCAGAGCCCCTGGTTGGGCCTCTCTGGGCACTTGGCATCCATACAGTCATCCAGATTGTAGGTGCATGTGTGGTCTGGACCTGGTGAGGTCCCATCAGAGATATGCATTGCTATCATGGGCTTTCATGCAGAGTCCCCTGTGTCCTCTGTCCTTGAGCAGAGTCCTAGGCCCCTTCCCTCATTAGAATACAGAGCCTGGCCTGTAGCATGGTATAGTACTTGCTGCTGAATGCCAATGGAAATGACCTGGGTAGAATGAATAGGCCTTAAGAACAAAGCAGTTGGTGACTTGTCAGGCACCCCACATGCAGGTGCCTGTCATGTGCTGGCTCCCCATGTCCTTGGCCATGTGCTGAGGCACAGAAGGCAGGACTTCAGTGCATGCATGGAATTCTGAGTGTGCCCTTGTGCACTTGTGCTGTGCATGGGGTGGCTGGTTGTCTCCATGCCTCCACTTGGCCCAGTGGGCACAAGTGATGGCCAGCCTCCTCAACTTAAGCTATTCTTGGTTATAATTTTCCTGAACTTCTGTGATGTTTTCCAGAGAGCATGTGTCAGGAATATGCTGCTAATTAAGACACATGCCTCTTTCATACACAGTTCATATCAGTTTATGGCCGTTTGGTGTCTCCACAGAACTCCATTGTAATTCTGTCCCCCCAGTCCACATCCCAGACTCAGGGCCACAGTCATCACTTCCCAGTTGGGTGACATTCATGTCTACTGGTATTGAAGGTGTCTTGTGCATGAGTTCCCTTCTCGTTTGGATCGATGAAGTATTTCAGTGGCTTGGTCTGTTTCCCTTAGAACCTGGCAAGGACCACAAGAAACGTTGACTCCCTTCCAGTTGACTTTAGGAAGGTGAAAATGAGTCCTGACGGTACTACTTGGCAAGATCCTTAGCACCCATGTTCTGAGAGAGGTGGACTTCATGTATGTTTGGTCAGTTCTGTTCCTTGATTTGCATGTTTTTGTTATGTTTTGTTTGTGTGTCTATGTTTTTAGCCAGAGGGAATATGTGCTTACAAATGCGGGTCATGGGGTGCATGTGTTGATGTAGTTAGTGGCCTGGGCAGGAAAGGAGCCATGAGGAAAACTCGTAGAGGATTTAGGTATCTATCCTTGTCACAGAGAGAGCCAGACAGAGAGGGAAATGAGAAAGCACTCCTGACCCCAGGGGTAATGGCCATGCCATAATCCCTTCTCTTCCATTTTCCTCTTGGGATTTTAGGCACACATGCTCACATGTCCTGCATGATTTTTTAGCCAAAAGTTTGGGACTTGAATCATGGTCGACCATGTGGGAGTCCAGAGCCTTAACCACCAAGACACCTGCTGGCCCAGATTTGCACATTTTAAATGAGGCACCGTGAGTGTGTGACATGCCTGGACGATGGGGAGGAATGAGTTTTTTGGCCCTTGGTGTTGCGGCAGTTCTGTCAAGTTGGGAAAGCCCCCCTTTTCTTAGCCTGTCTCATTGGGTCATGATAGCATGCAGAATGAACAGACCGGAGGTAGGTAGTCTCGAATGTTGCACGTTTTTAGTGATCCCTAGTGCCCTTGAACCAGCGACTCATATGAGTACCTGTTCATGGTCGTGGCTTCTGGAACTAGTGGTTGTGGGTAGTGTGGTAAGTGTGCTTTGTCTTGGAGAAAACTCACAGATCCTAACTGTTCATTGTCTTTATGACCCTGGGGGGAACAGTGTATATGCATGTGCATGGAGGTGTCAGGATGGGCAATAGCTGTCAGACACACCAGCTTTGGTATATCTTTGAAACCTGAAGAGGTTAAAGGCGACATCCTTTAGTTGGAAACCCCCAGTGAAAAAAAAACAGCAGGAGGGTGGCAGGCAGTGAGTGGCAGTTCCTTAATGTCTTGGGGGTACCTGCATGTCCTCCTGCGAGTGAGTTGGACACACATGCACACCAAGAAACATGGATACATACACACAGAGGTGCACACATAGAACTGCCCTGACACCTGTTGTGCAGCTGTCTATCAGCTCCACTGTGGGCCTCTGGTTACTCATAATGGAGCAAAGGAGAGGGAGATGTAAGAGCTACCGCACAGGCAACAGTTGCATGCACGTGTTGTACTGTGTACCTGTCTGGGTTTGTTTTCAAGCATACATGTCCTTTCTCTACTCAGTGGGAGGTGCTGTGACGGGCTCACTGTGCACATGGAAGGAAAGTCTCTGTTTCCCGGGGAGACTGTGTGCTCTGCCATCTTGTGAAGTTGTGCTTGGGATGCAACCACCACAGTTGGGTCACCCTAGATGGTAAGCATGCCTTCTCTTTGTCTTGGCAATGTTTTTACCGTGCAGTGGACATGGAGGTGTCTAGGTGTCCACAGGCCTTTACTGGTGTGCCAGGGTGTACTCGTGGAGTGGGCCGTTTGCTCCTGTCCTGTGGTGGGGTGTGCTCTGGCTGTCCTGGGCACTGACACTCTTGGAGGTCATCAGCTCACCCGGTGCTCTACCTGCACTGCTCAGCTCGTGGCCTCTTTGGATGTGCTTGGATCGATGATGACTCCCCATAAAACATTCCTTAGAAAAGCTGAACAAATTGAGTAAAAACTCAGTACCATCACCTTCATCGGAACTGAGGTCCAGCACAATGCCTCTAGGAGGGACTCTAGGAGGGAGCGTCACTTCCCACATTTGTACACAGTCATCCCAGCACCCAGGGAGTCAAGCAGGGCAAGCCTCTCATCTTAAGGCTCACGGCAATCTGTGGTCAGATAGCAGTGTCCTTGGCCGAGTGGGTCACTCCATGGCACTGCTCTGTGCTGACTGTCATCAGGGTCGTAGTAGGCGAGTGTGCTGGATGAGGTGCTAGCAGAGTTCTGCTGCCATTGCACCCCTCATGGACAGGTTCTCATGGCTTCTTGGATCTGAAGACCAACATTCAATTTCCTGGTGATAGATCCAGGGGCTGGCCCTTAGCCAGGCCTGTTACGTTCTGCTGAGGTTGCTTACGAGAAACTGTTACCAACGGGAGTGATGCTGACAGTGACCAGGTACCAGGGATACAGCTGGTGGCAACTTGATTTGCCCACATGCAGAATGCTATCTTGAGATGACCTGCCATGTGCTTAGCCACACACTGGGCTGGGGAGTCTAGGAGCTGAGGTAGTCAGTGGCCCTGACAGGAAGAAACGCCTTGTAAAAAGTCCAGAGGGTTTCGTGGCCATCCATGCTGCAGGCTGTTTTGCCCTTTTGTATTCATATCTTGTTTTCCTTCTTCTGTGGCTGAAATATTGTTAGACTACATTTACACTGTATTTTCATCCTCTACTTCAAAATATAGTTGTGGATGGCATTAAACACCTTTGTATTGGGTGGTTGGAGAACAACCCAATTTTTGCATTTTTGCATAGAAAAACAGAAAAATATTCAATGACTTTTCCAGCAACCGAAGAGAACAAATGCCACAAACTCTTCTAAGGTTTTACAGGTCAATATCATATGGTATTAGGGTCATTTGGTATTGTTTTTTGTTGTTCTACGTAGGCAAAAGTTTGTTTTTAATTATTCATGGTGGGCGAGTGTGCCAGCTTTCACGTGTGCTGTTTTCCTCTGTGTACTGTTATGGTAGCAGATGCTCCTACTGCTCTGACATGACTTGACCGTGTCTGTTATGGCCAGTTTGGACGTTCTGTTTCCTAGTCTGTAATACACTCTCACGTAGCACCTTTCCATAGCTGCTAAATTCCAGGCAAATTTGGGACTTGCATTCTCCGGTAATGGCAATGTATTTAAGGACAGGACTCACTATTTGGTGGTAGGGTCCATGGAAAGTGCCCCTCGTTCAGAAGTGTTGTGCCTTCTTCCTGCCACATGTCCTCAGTGTCTCGTCAGTAGCACTCGTCTTTTTGGGGTCCATTCCGAGGGCTTTGGTGTAAAGTGTGGCGAGAGTGTGGTGGTGTGAGTTCCAATATTGCGTCTAGCGTGGGAAGGTGCTGACCTTTGTCCTGTTTCTGCAAGATTTTGTATCAGATGACAAAGAATTTGTGGTAAGGTAGTCCGTGATTTTAAACCTCGTGCACGTCCTTGAAGAAGGTTTTCTGAGTGAGTGGGCCGCTTGGCCTCCTCTGTACATTGGAGAAAGGTAAATGGGACGGTGTAACAGGCGACTATTCAAAGGTGTGGCCTTCAGGTCACAGAAGGCCACGAACCCTGCTCCCTCCATCCCTACTAAAGGTGTGAGGGGATCGTACAGCTCTCTGCACTCATTTGTGCAGGCCTGAGTAACACTGCAGACGTGATGACTGTGGGCTTGTGAGCACTCTTCAAATGAATGCCATGTCTCAGTGACAAGTCCTCAATAGTTATGTGTGTGGAAATGCATGACATGGCACTTGGACAAGTGCATGTTTGAGGAGAAGCCCCCAGAGTAAAGCGTGTAGGGCCAGGTGATGGAGGAAGTACCCTGCTCCTAGTATCCTATGTCCCTGACATGCAGCTGTGTTCCGTTGCATGTTCTAGGTGGCTTTCTATTGAATGTGAGATGGCCATTTGGTGGAGAGTCATCCCGTCACGAACTACCCAGATGTGCCAGATCTGCAGACCCTGTGTGCACAGCCACCATGTGCTGGGGAGCACTGTTTATGGTAAGCCTACATTTGTCCAAAGAAACAGTGTCTTCCCGTTTCCTGGGACAAAGTATGTGCATGGATCGATGATGACTTCTCAGATACATTCCTTGGAAATCTGAACAAAATGAGTGAAAAGTCTCAACCGTTGTCCTCATCGAACTGAGGTCCTGCACATTATTCCAACAGGAACTAGACACAGAGGGATAGCTTCCAGCTCTTCAGCCCATCAATCCTCTGGCATTTTCTGGCTTGAGGAGGTGGTCTAGCGTGGTCAATCATTGCCTCTGAGCATTTAGAACTGACTCCCAGACCTGCAGATACTTTGGATAAATGGCTGCCATTTGCCTGACCAAGCCATGCACCATGTGGCTAGGGTTGAGCAAGTGCAGGTGGCAAGGAAGGAGACAGCAAGTCACCTGTTATTTTGCCTTCTTGAGTCATGGTCTCACTTCCCATCACATATGGAAGACAGGCTACTTTGTGTCTGAGAGAGCCCTAGGTCAGCAGTCACTTGCCTCATTTTCCTGTTTGACAGAGAAGATTAGCGTGTTTGTGGTTTAGAAAGAGTTCTGGAAATTCATGGATCTCCTCCATGAAGCTAATCAGGGGTGGCTTCCCTGCTCACCTCGTTTCGGGTCATAGCAGTCAAAGTTGTGTCTTGCGGCCGTAGAAGGGTACTTTAGGAAAAGATGAGAAACGGCGGTTCTTGCAGTGTATGGAAACCCTCTTACTTTGGTGTTCAAGAATTCTTTTTTTTTTTCTTTTACTCAAGTCAAAAGTTAGTTAGTTATTGGGAAAAATGTAAGAACAATATATTTAATGCTTTTGTATCTTTCATTCTTTCAGTTTCTGCCACAGAGTGCAGATATTTGGTATATATTAAGTGAGTGCATCCCTGCCTCTCTTTCCAAGTCTGGCTTGCTCCTCTTACTAGAAAATCTTCCATATTCAAGCATTCTTTTGTTTTGTTGTTGTTGTTGGTGTTGTTGTTGTTGTTTTTGAGAGATTTTTGCTATAGGGCACGCGCGCTTGCCAGACAGACAGAGAGAGACATAGAGACAGAAAGCGAGAAATCACCCCCCAGGGGGGATGGTCATGCCACAATCCCTTCTCCTCCGTTCTCCTCTCGGGATCTTGGGTACGCATGCACACGTGCCCAGTGTGAGTTTTAAGCCACCGGGTCCGGGACGCGAACCACGGTCGACTACGTGAGAGTCGAGCGACAGCCATTATGCTAACTGCTGGTTCCCAAGCATTCTTTAGTTTTTGTGGGAGATGCCAGGTCAGCCTGGAGATGATAAGACAGTGCATATGCACGAGTGAGGGCATAAATTTCAGTGTGTTTTTCTTTTTTTAATTTAATTTTATGTATTCATTCATTTATTTTAATTTTGACTAGAGAGACACACAGAGAGGAAGGAAAAGTGAGAAAGCAAACCACAAGGTCCAGGACTCAAACCGTGGTTGGCCATGTGGGAGCGTCCTGTACCTTAACCACCATGCCACCTGCTGGTTCCCCCTAGAGTGTTTTTCTTACAGAATGTGTATGCTCTTGACCCTGTGTTGGATGGTTATCATCATGTGGCTGTTTGTGTGGACCATTGGCACATTACTGCCGCCCAGCCATTGTGGGTGATAGGACACGGGGAAGTGTGATTCCATGTGTCTCACTGTTCTCTCTTGTGGACTGAAAGGTGTTTTTCTAGACAGCCAGATGTCATTTTCTTCAAAAACCTACATTTCCATCAGGCAGTTTGGACAAAAACAAGGGTATGATCAGGCCAGTGGAAACGTGCCCTGGATCATTTCTTTCATTTAATATCCTTTTTTTTTTGGAGAGGTTGTTTTTTTTTTTTTTCCTATAGGGCATGTGCGCTCACCAGACAGACAGAAAGAGAGAGAGAGATAGAAAGCGAGAAATCACCCCCCCCAGAGGGGATGGCCACGCCGCAATCCCTTCTCCTCCATTCTCCTCTTGGGATCTTGGGCACACACGCACACGCGCCCAACATGAGTTGAAGCCAAAAGGTCGGGGACTTGAACCGCGGTCGACTACGTAGGAGTCCAGCGACATAGCCATTACGTTAACTACTGGTCCCTCTTTCATTTAATATCTTAATGTCCTGTGTGGCTAAGTTCAGGTAGATTGTTCCTGCTGTTCATGCTGGAAAATACTTTAAATTTTGCTTTGTTCTAGTGGAGGCCCCAGAATTCATAGGCCCATGGGAGAGATGTTTGCCCTGGCAACTGAGCTGAGTGGCATATTTTCTGGGACATATGGCAATTGTGGTGTTATGGTTTTAGCAGGTGTGTTGTATTCTGTGCTTTCTGATCTGTTTGCTATCCCTACTCCATCCTTGAGGATGTAGCAAATTCTAGGTAGATTTTGGACTTAAGGCTCCCTGTTATGGCAAGGCACTGGACAGCTGTAACGCTTGATAGATCAATGGACAATGCTCTTTGAACTGAACCGTGTCTGCCTTCTCTGTGTTTGTAGTACTGTTAGTCAGCAATGTTAATCTTTTCCAGGATCTGTGATGGAGCTTTTGAGTATAGGTGTGAAGAGAAAGTGGTTTCCGTACCCTGCCCTGTCCATAAGAGGTACCAGCTGAGTTGACAGTGAATTTGTGTTCAGGATATTCTGGGTTTTCAACCGTAGGCTGGTTCTTGGGTAAATCTTTTAGAGTGAACATTCTGCTTGGTGTCTTCTCTATGGTGGGGAGTAGCATTTGACACAATTTGGCAGATGGCTACGGAAAGGAGTGGGCCTCAGGCCATAGAACTGCAGCTTGTTCCCTATGCAGTAGAGAGACAAGGAATCATGGTGGTGTCTGCAGGGATTGATGCTTACTTGAGGAGCTTTGTGTGTGTGGGAGGTGTGGTTCAAGGGAGTTGCTTGTGTGTATGATGTGTTGTGTATCCATGAGCCCTGGGTGCCTTTGTGAATGAGAACGTGTGGCTGGGTACGTAGAGAAGACACGCGTAAGCAGGTGTCGGCAGTGAAGACTAAATGTACGTAGGGCAAGGTGACAGAATACATTGCCCTGGTTACTGGTGTTCCTTCCTGTGTTTCCAAAGCACTTCCCTGTCTTTCACTCCCCAGTCTAGGTGGCTCTTTATAAATGAAAGAGAATTGTCTGCAGAGAGCATCCTGCTATGTACCCAGAGGTGCTGAAAGCCCCAGACTCCTGTGGTATGCAGCTTGTCACGTACTGGTAAGTCTGCACCTTGAAAAACTTGCAGATTCTTCTCATTTCTAGAGATGGAGGATGTGCATGGATCGATGATGACTTCCAAATATACATTCCTTGGAAATCTGAACAAAATGAGTGAAAAATCTCAACCGTCGTCCTCATCGAACTGAGGTCCTGCACATTATTCCAACAGGGACTAGAGAGAGGGGGACAGTTTCTGATGGTTCGCTTGGTGGCATCAGCTGGGTCCTCTTGCTTGAGGAGGTGTTGTGCCTGGGGTACATTAGTCTCTGCAGTTGGGACTCCCTGCCCAGGAGACAGCTTGCTGAAATGGCTGCTGTTGGCCTGACCGGGCCTTGCACACGGAGTCTCCCAGATTAGGTGAGTGTGTGGCCACAAGGAGAAGGCGTGTGGAGCTATGTCTCTGCACCTGTCTGCCCCTTACATGGTCTTCGTATTCCCCATCTCCTAAGGAAGATGGGTTTTTTGGGTCCGATTTAGAGCTCAAGGTCTGGTCTGGAAAGTTGCTTGTGTCTTCTTCCTGATTGGCAGAGATTGACGGAATGCCCTCGGTTCTAGACAGAGTGCTGGTACATAGCTGTTGCCATGCCATGAAGGCCGGAGGAGGCCTCCCTGCTGAAGCGTTGTTGAGTCTTGGCAAGCAGAGTGATGTCTTGAGCCGTGGAAGGTATTTTAAATTTTTTAAAAAAAGTTACTCAATTTTTGAAGAGATTTTTGCTATAGGGAACATGTACTCGTTAGAAAGACAGAAAGAGACAGAGAGACAGAAAGAAAGCTATAAGCCCTCAGTGTGGATGACCACATCACAGTCCCTTCTCCTTCATTATCCTCGGGATCTTGGGCACACATGCACATGATTCTGTGGTGAGTGAAAGCGAGAAACAGGTGTCCACACACTATGTGAGTGCCCTTCTCCTTTGACGTCTGAGTGCTTGAGCATCTTGCAGGTTTCCTTCACAGACGCCATGTCTACCTGGAGGCAGTGTGATGGTAAGGCAGCAGGGATGCATGGGCCCAGATTTTAGAGCCGTTTTCTCGTCCATATCTGTCTTCCGGAGTGTTCTGGACCTCGAATTGGATACTTATCTCGGTGTGGTGTCTGTGCACGTCATTGTCACATTACCACCACCCAGCCATGGTGTTGACGTGGCAGGCAATTGTGTGTTGTTCCCTATTCTGTCTGTTGTACATTGAAAGGTGTTTCTCTGAACAGCTAGACATTATTTTCCTTCGAAAACCTAAATTTCTATCCATGCAGCTGGGATGAAGACGAGGGTGTCCTTTGGCAGGACATCGGAGAGCTGCGTGGAAACCTGTCCTGTCATTTCTGTGACTTATTCAGCATTCCGTGTGGCTAGCATCAGGCAGGATCGCTCCTGCTGTTGCCCATGGTGCACAAGTTTCTTTTTGTGTTGTTTCATAAAGAGCTAGCATTAGCAGGTTCTTGTGTGGAAAGGTGTTTGATTTAGAGGCTGAGGCTGATCACAGATATTCTGAGATACGTAGTAATCACAACGTTGTGTCCTAGGAACTGCAATGCCTTTGGTTTGGAGGCCGTTTCTCTTTCTTATGTTCCGTGCTAGCGAAGCCTACAAATTCCGAGCAGTTTTGACACTCAAGGTGGTGCTGGAGGCTAGCACTTGGTCAGATGTCAAATGAATCAATGGAAATTGCCCTATCTTCAACAGTGTTTTTGTCTTCTGTGAGTCCCTAGTGTACTACTGCGGTGACGTGAATTGTTCCTGGGCTCCATGACGAGGGCTTGTGTGTGGGGTGGTGCAGATGAGAGGTGCTGCAAACCATGTTTTATACTGAGGGTGGGCAGATGTGGCCCATTGGACAGTGTGTTGGAGATGCCACGTGCGATGTTGAGAGAGCCCATGGCGAGGTACCTCTCAGTTTATAGCTGTGTGTCTGCTGCTGCGGGGACACTGACAGTGGACATGCTCTTCGTCCTCTAATGTGTGATGAGGAAGAGATGCCATGTGAGATGCTGAGAGAACTCATGGTGAGGCGGTCCTCAGTTTATAGCCCTGTGTCTGCCCCTGCGGGGACACTGACAGTGAACGTGCTGTTTATTCACTAATGTGTGAAGAGGAAGACTAAATGGCATGATTGGCCAGATGGCTCTCAGAGGTGAGGCCCACAGGTCACAGAACTCCAGCCTTCATATGCAGTAGAGGTGTGCGGGACCGTGGTAGTGCCTGCAGGCATGAGAAGCCTACGTGAGCAGCCTTGTATCTGGGAAAGCGGCTCTGGGGTACAGAGACGAGCATTTGATGCCTGTGAGACCGAAAATGGATGCCTGGGTGCGGAGAGTCATACGTGTGTGAGCACGTGACAGTGACAGGCTAGATGTGTTCAGCTAGGTGACACAGTGCATTGTCCTGGTGCCTGGAGAGCCTGTCTGTGCTGCTGAAGCACATTTGAGTTGTCACTGCCTGTTGCAGGTCACTCTACGAAATGAAAGAGATGTTGAGGAGGGAGCGTCCTCCTGTTGAGAGGTGCCTGGTTATGCTGGAAATGTAGGCGTCCTGTGAATACTGCCTGTCACATTTTGCTGCGTCTCTGTTTCCGGTAAGCCTGTTTTGTCAACCTTGCAGCCCCCTTCAATTTCGAGAGACAGAAATTATGCATGGATCGATGATGACCCCTAAATATACATTCCTTGGAAATCTGAACAAAATGAGTGAAAAATCTCAACCGTCATCTTCATCGAACTGAGGTCCAGCGTGTTAACCCAGTAAGACCCAGTTTGACCTGACTGTGCCACGTGGGTCTTTGACTGGAGGAGATGCACACGCACAGTGCAGGGTCCTCTCTGTGTGGGTGACTTCCGGCTTAGGAGATCAGTGGGTAAGTGGTGCAGTTTGCTGACTGGGCCTCACACACAGAGGCGTTAGGGTTAGGTGTTGGCATGCGTGGCACAGGAAGAAGCCATATGTAGCCTCTGTCTCTGTCCCAAATGCCCCCAGAGTTGTCTTCCTACCTCCTCAGAGGGAATGTTGGTTCTTTGTTCAGGAGTAGAGCTCAAAGCTGGGTCCCCTAGGTCCTTCCTGCTCTTTTCCTGATTGGCAGACGAGGCTAGCATGCCTTTGGTTCTGGACAGAAAAAGTGCTGGTTACTCTTTGGAGTATGGGGACATGGATTTCCCTGACTTGGGGAAGCCAGGAGGAGGCCTCCTCACTGTAGAAGCGTTAAGTCCCCTGAAAGGTACTGTTGGGAGGGGGAGAGTCTGTCATGTCCTTACTGGACACCCTTCCACTTTGATGTCTGAGTAAAGTCTGCTCTGGGTGGTCTGCGCCTTCTGTGGGTTCCTGTAAGAAATGTGCGGTCAGTGCACAGGCAGTGTGCTGGGAGCGTGGTGCATTTGCATGAGTGTGGACAGAGATGCAGGAGAACTTTGGCTGAGAATGTCTGCCCTGAGCCTTGAGTTGGATGGTGACTTTGTGTGGTGTTTGTGCAGCCCATTGACACGTGACTGCTGCCCAGCCATGTGGCGTGTGATAGTATTTTCCCCTTTCCAATATGTTGCTGATTAAAAGGTGGTTGTCTGGAAACCCAGATTCCATTTTCCTAGAAAACTGATGTTTCCATCTAGGTTGTTAAGATGAAAATGAAGCTGTCAGACATCTATGTGGAAACCTGCGCTGGACCACTTCTGTAACTGACTATTTCAACATTCTGTTTGATTAGGGTCAGGTAGAATTGATCTTGCTGTTGTCCATGGTGGGGAAGTTTCTCTCTTTGTGTTGTTTTATTGGAGGGTTAGTAGTCACTGGCCCGTGCATGGAGGGATGTTTGACTTAGCCAAATTTGGTGGCATATTTGCTGAGACATGTGACGATCAGGCATGTGGATTTGACTTCAATGTTTTCCGGGCTGTCCTACTTTCTCAGGTTCCATTTTAGAGGAAGCCTGTAAATTCCAGGTGGACTGGGGACTCTGGTTTTCTTGAAAGGGCAACTTACTGAAGGCAGTACGAGGGAATTCACTGGAGAAAGTGATGGAACGTGCCCTTTGGTGTGTGTACTGTCTCAGTGATGTTGTCTTCTTTGGGATCTGTAACAAGGCCTTCCTAGGACAGTGTGCAGAGGACGTGGGATTGCTTCCAGTCTTGGCATTTAGGGTGGGCAGGCTGCTTCTCTTTCTCCAGTGTGTGAGAGATGCCACCTGAGGTGGCCTACAGCTTATATTCAGGGAGTCCTTGGTTGGAATAGTACATAGGATAGTTGGGCAGGTGTCTCTGCCAGGGTGTGGCGTAAGGCCAGACAGCGTCCACTGCTTCCTTCCACACTCAGAGGAGGTGAGGGAATCAGGAAGGGGTCTGGCAGCAGCAGCAGCCTGCCCAGCAGCATTGTGCAGGTGAGAGAGCAGTGGCTTTGAGAGAGTGCTCCTGGGAATGCTGTGGGGCATGATGATGAGTCCTCAATGACATTGAACAAAAAGGCATGACCCCGTGCATGGTCCATAAAGTCATGAGCAGGTATGACCAGGCAGGCTGAAGATATAGGACCAGGTGATGGGGGACTTAGCCCATGGCCGGTGTTTCCTTCAGTGTTTCTGAACACATCGCTGTTTCCATCTCTCGTTCCAGTTGGCTGTCTATGGAATGAGTCATGGTCATTTGGAGGGAGTATCTTCCTGTTACGAGGTGCCCAGATATGCCAGAAATACCTGAATTCTTGTGGTGTATGGCCTGCTCTTTGCTGGTGGATTGCTGTGTATGGTAAGCCTGTATTTTATCAAACCTGCAGATTCCATTAGTTTCCAGGGATGCAGAATGTGCATGGATCGATGATGACTCTCAAATATACATTCCTTGGAAATCTGAACAAAATGAGTGAAAAATCTCAACCGTCGTCCTCATCGAACTGAGGTCCAGCACATTATTTCTACAAAGGTCAGGCAGGAGGGGATAACTTTCAGTGTTTAACTTGGTTGCAACAACTGGATTCTCCACTTGCAGAGGTACAGCTCCCGATGTAAGCAGTCTCTGCACAGGCGAGGTTCTCAGGGTCTGGGAGACAATTGGGTTCAATGGCTGCTATTTGCTGGACTGGGCCTTGTGCATTAGGTCTCTAGGAGTAGGTGAGTGTGCACATGGCACAGGGTGAGGTAATATGTTGCCAAGATCTCCATGCTCAGTTTGTCCTCATCAGCAGTCTTTACATTTTTCCACCTCCTTAGGAAGATTGGTCATTTGTATGGTGAATAGAGCCACAGGCTGGTCTTGAATGCCATTTGCAGCATTTTCCTGATTGGCAGAGAATATTAGAGTGCTTTTGATCTGTACAGAAGGAGTGTTTCCTGGGGACACGGACATCCCCCATGGATGGAAACAGGAGAGGCCTACCCACTGTGCTTATTTTGAGTCATAGCAGTGACCAAAACTGTAGTCCCACACTGATATTTTTGGCCACTGGTGGATACTGTAGGGAAGAGTGAGAAAGAGCTGTCTGGGCACTGTTTGGACAGTCTTCCATGTGGATTTGTGACTGAAGTCTTTCCTGGGTATTGGAGCATTCTGCGGGCCCCTCTGATACATGCCACGTCGGCACAGAAGTGATGTCCCAGGACCGTGGCCTGTGTGCATGTGAATCTGCGTACATTTACAGTTTTCTCAAAGAGCGCCTTGGTGCTGACCCTTGAGATGGATGGTTTTTGTGTGATGTCTGCATAGGCCGTGACACATTGTTGTTGTCTGAGCATTTTGTTGATATGCAGACAATGCTATGTTTTCCTGTTTTGTCCCCTTTTCTCTGTTCTGTGGGCTGAAAGATGTTTTTCTGGACAACTAGATATCATTTCCCCAGAAAACCTACATCTCTATCTAGGAGGTTGATGGAAGACGAGGATATCCTTTGGCAGGATGTTGGCCAGCTACATGGAAATGCACCCTAGAACACTTAAATGATGAGATACCACAGTATCCTCAAGTTGTGGGTCATGGAGAACAAACAGATCCTGCTGTCGTCCTTGACAGGAAAGTTGCTTTTATTGCCTTGTTCTAGTGGACGGCTAGTACTTGCAGGCCCACAAATGGAGAAATGTTGGATTTAGTGGCTGAGTTTGGTGGCAATTTGCTGGAACGTAAGCAATCACAGCTTTCCAGCATTAGAAATCATGATGTCGTCAGTGTTTTCTGGGCTATACTGCTTTCTCATCTTCCATTCCATAAGAAGCCTGCAAAGTCCAGGTAATCTGGGACTTGGGTTTCCTGTAAGGGCAAGGCACTGAAGGATAGTGCTTGGGAATCTGCTGGCAGGAGTAATGAAAGGGCCCTTTGTGCAGAATGGTGTTAAGTACTGTGTGTCCCCAGTGTACTACCTTGTGGCAGTTGTCTTGTGGGATTGATGACAAGGGTTTTTGAGCACAGGGTAGAGAAAAGGCAGTATTGCATATTTGGTTTGGTTCCTAGGGTAGGCATCTGCCTTTTGTCCAGTGTTTCACAGATGCCACCTAAGACGACAGAGTTTGTATTAAGTGTGTCCTTGGTTTTCAACCTCGTACCTGTGCTTCAGGAAACCTTTTAAAGTAATTAAAGTAATTGTGCTACTTGGTATCCAGTTTATGTTGGAGAACATTTGGCAGGAGTTTCTGTCCTTGCATGGTCCTCAGGCAATAGAACTTCACCTGCTTCCATCTCTGTAATGGTGTGAGGGACCATGCTGGTCTCTACTGGTGTCTTTACCATGCCTGAGCCAAATTGCAGATGTGGGAGCAGTGGTCTTGAGAGTGTTGTTCATGTGAATAGTATTAGGCTCAATGATGAGGCCTTGAAGCTCATGTGCATAAAATCAAGTGGCTTGGGACAGAGTCACATATACGTAAGCACTTGAAGCCAATAAGAAAATAAGCTATGTGGAACAGGTGATGCAGAACATCTTTATGGTAACTGGTGTTCCTGTCTCTGTTATGAAGCACCTCCATGTTTTCACTGGCTGTTCCAGGTGACTTTCTATGGAATGAAACTCTGTCATCTGGAAGAAGCATCTTCCATTAAGACATGACCAGTCATCTCAGAAAGAACAAAGCTCTTGGAGTATAAAGCCCACCAGATAATATGCACTGCTGTCCATGGTAAGCTGGTGCTTGGTCAGACTTGCAATTTTTCAAATGACCAAGAATGGAGAATGTGCACGGATCGATGATGACTTCCAAATATACATTCCTTGGAAATCTGAACAAAATGAGTGAGAAATCTCAACCGTCATCCTCATCGAACTGAGGTCCTGCACATTATTCCAACACTAGACACAGAAAGACAAATTCCAATATTCAGCTGGATTCTTTGCCTTAAGGACGCGTGGTGCCAGTGGTAGTCTTAGTTTAGTAGAGAATCCGAGTCAAGGACACATATATGTAAATCACCCTGGGCTCTGACCAGTCCTCGTGCACAGTGGTGATTGACCACAGCATGTCTTCTCAGTGCGTGGGTATAAGCCTCCACACACAGACGGAGTAGTGCCTGATTTATGGTCCGTGGGAACCAAGGGAAGGTATTGTGTCTCTCCACAGACACTCCCCACAGGTTTGATGGGCCAGTCTTCTGGGGGACCAACTGTTTATAGAAGGAGAAGAGTTGGCTGACGTTCCCAACAATACTGGGATTTTACATCTGATGTCTCATTAAATATAAGAGTGACTTATAAATGAAAAAAAAGCTACCTTAGGTGGAATCATCCATCCTTTCATTTTTCCAACCATTTCTGTCATAGCAGAACACTTATTTTTTGGGAGAAGACCATCCCATCAAAAGTCAGCAATCGTGAACACGGGTCACTGATGAGCTCCGTTTCATGTTACCTCTTCAAATACGCTCACAGGAAATGTGATATATTGCCAATTTAGCTTGAGGTATATTTCATCTGCCTCATTCATACCAAAATTGACTTCCAGTGTACAGGGGAATATATCCTAGTCTGAATATGTGATTATGAATAGTCATTCAAGGTAAACATTTGGACTGATGGTTTCTGAGGAGGAATGCTTGTAGGTTGCAATAGTCTCTGAGCAAAGTTCATTTTTCTGGATATATGGATAAATTGATGAATGCCTAGTAAGAATTTTCATGATCACGTGTAGATCTTTATCATGTCCAATGTATTTCATTTTACAAATCCCATCTTTTTTCTTATACTCTCAGGATTGTGTATGAGGAAAGTCCACAGAGTTTGACCATGGAACTGAATAGATGTGGATTCTTTTCATGTCTTGCCAACTCTTGAGATGCGAAGGATCTCCTCTTGAGGTAACATCTAGTTTTTAGGGACTATTTCACAGAGTGCCCACATCTCCTCATCTCCTCTAGCAAAGAGGACTTTCATGTTCAAAAGAAGATGGTAGACTATGACAGAGTGCACTCGGGTGTAATGAACAGTCGAGATCTTGGCATTGCGTCCTTGGTGGATGTGACATTTCCCTCCAGTAGGGAGTTCGGTTTTACATGGTAGAGGGGCGCACTCATACCAGGATTTGTTGCACAGCCTTGCACAGTGAAGCGTACAGCATTGGGAGGTGAAGGAAAGTGCATGCCTGCTTCTCACATCCTATTGAAATGACCTTCTTTGACAGGAAGACATGGAGCAGGCAGTGGGCTTCACCACAACAAATGGAATCATCCTCCCCATGAAGGAGAGACCTAGGAGAATTGCAGTCACGCATCCTGAAGGGCCAAAAGGAATTTACACAGAAGGTATCCAGTTTAGGGAAGAGCTATGAAGATTAGTGATATCTGGGACACTCTACTCCTAATGAGACCTTGATCCTTGCCAGCCAACCTAGGAGTGGCACTGGACCATGGCCACAGCCTCTAGGAGTGAATAGTGTTTGACATTGCATCCCATCTGACTGACAGATGAGGTTGAGATGTCGATTTTATCCCTTAAACTCGAGGTCCTTAGACTACGTGTGGCTGGATCAAGAATAACTTAAGAAAAAGAGTAGACACCTTGGAAATCTGACCAAAACGTGTGAGTCCTATGAAATGAGATCCAGCACATGAACCCTGGTAGGCACGGGTAGACGGAGATCTTTCAAGTTAGCACCTGGTCTCAGAAAGGACTGGGGCGTCAAAGTGCTAACTCTTTAATGTAGAAAGCATCCTGAATTGTTGATAAGTGTAGAGGGACCAGCAGATGGTGTAATGGTTATGTCGCAGGACTCCCACATAGTTGACCACAGTTCGAGTCCTGGGCCCCGCCATGTAAAACTGACAGCAGACCCATGTGAGTGCATGCCCAAAAATTCCAAGAGGAGAATGGAGGAGAAGGGATTATGGCATGACCATCTCCTTTGTGGGGTATGTTTGGTCTCTTTGTCTCTCCAGTGAACGCACACACCCTATAGCAAAAACCTCCCTGAAAAAAAAAATATTTTAAAAAGTGTAGAAATACCCGCTGGAGATTCACAGAGGTCAATCATTTGAGTCTTGCTTGCTGACATCCAAATGCAGAGGCAGTAGTGCCTGACTGATGAACACAGGGGCGGCAGGAATCTGGAGAAGTTGTTTCCTCCTGCTAGAGATAGTTCCCCCAGGATGATATGGGCCAAAATGTGTGTTTGGCAACAATATGACACTTAAGAGCAATCTTTCAGGAAATGTGGGGATCTGATATCTCCAGTCTTACTAGTGTATAAAGGACTTTGATATTCAAGATAAGTTACCCTCACTTCACAAGAAGCTCCCTCAGTGGAATGAAACCCATGCCTAACGTGTGTTAACACATGACACTGCTCGTATCTGCTCCATGCTGAACCCTCAAACCCACGCAATGCCAAAGGACACTATTGCCAATTCATCTTGAGTAGAATTTCACTGGCCTTATTCCTGTGTCCTCAGTGTCATCTGGTTTGTCTGCAGTGACATCCTGGGATAGAAGCATGATATTGAAAAGGCAAGCGGGGATATGTTGTGAGTGGTATCTCTCAAAGACAAATGGTTTTAGTTTCCAATAAGTAAGAGGAGAGGCACATTTTGGGAGGAGTGTGCAGAGAGGCCCACAATTCTCTAATCTCAATTTCTTGGCCTGCACTCTTGCATCAAACATACTGAATTTAACCAGTACCTTTGTTTAATTGTGCCTATAGATAGAGTTCAAGGCTGGTTCACAAATGGAAGGCCTCACAAATCAACTTGTCCAGAATTGCTGACATCTCAACGCCTTCCCAGATGTGAATGATAGCCAATTCTACTTGAGGTGAGGTAGAACCATAAGTAAGTTTTCTGCTATAGGGCCACTTGTGATCATTTCATGGGGCTACCTGGACTTTTGACGTAAGCTGGTGAACAGGGGAGCATCCTGACAAATAGCATTCTCCCTCTATGTTGCAATGGTCTACTACAGTCCGTCTCAGATCTCAGGTCCTTGGGAGATTTGTGACTGAATCAATGATGACCTAAAAAAAATAAATAAATAAACCTTAGAAATCTGAACAAAATGAGTACCATGAGCTGAGGTCCAGCACGTGAACCCTGGTAGGTGCACATAGGGAAGGCATTTTTCAGGTGAGCACATGGGCTCCTGCGCAGCCACAGCATTGCAGAGCCAATGCTGTGGTGAGATGGATGGTCGTGCATGGCTGAGAGGTCTAGCCACACCTGCTGCAGCTTTGCCATGGCTTGTTGTTTCATTCGTTGCTTTTGGACTTCCATGTGAAGAGGAAATGGTGCCAGACAAGTGGACAGATGCGTAGTTGGTCCCATGGGGGTTATTCTCTCATCCCTAGAGTCATTCCCTGTGTGTCTGAAGGGCTAGCATGGGTGTCATCACCACATGTCCCTTGACTGTGAGAGACTGTCCTTCCTGGCAATGGTGAGATTTCACCTCTCCTGACCACCTCTCCTGATCAGTATGTGTGACTGATGCTCTTGTGATGCTGCCCTCAAGAACTGCATCTTTGCTCGAGGAGTTCCCATGTCAGAAAAGAAATGATGTCTTTCTGTGGGATGTCTTCTTCCCTAAGACCCAGCATGGAGTAAAAGTGAAACTGCTAAATTCTCCTTCCTGTGGAGCCCATGGCACGTGGGTGTAGCAGGTCTCTGCAGAAGCCTTACCTTGTGGTGAATTTCACGGCCTCACCTCTGCAGCTCAAGTGCCATCCATTTTTTTGGGCAAGACATCCAGGCTGGAACCATGATTTCCATGGGGCTGGAGAGTAACCACTGGGAAGGATGTGTCTCACAGAGGAACTGTAGTCTCAGGAGGGTAAGAGGAGATGGCGTTTTGGGGAGCATGTGCAGGTCATTTCTAAGAATCTAGTATTAAGTTCACATGGCCCTCTCCCTTGCATCAGACATTCTGTGTCTCATCAGTCCCTTTATTTTATTCAATTCTGCAGATCAAATTCGAGGGCAGTCCACGAACTTATGGCCTAAACAGCTCAGCAAGTCATGAATTGCCAGTTTCTCCCAGCACCCACAGTTGTGAAGGAAGGAAACCATTCGATTTGAGGTGAGATCGAAATGTCAGTGTCTCTTTCTCTCTGGGTTCACCAGTGAACACCTAAGGGGGCACCACTGTTCCAAAAATGAATTGGCCACCAGGGCATATCTTGACACATAGTGTTAAGTCTGTGTGCTGTAACGGCCTATCGTAGAACTGCCCTTTGTTTCTCAGTGGATGGGGCCTTCTCGACTGCTAATGGGTAGTATTTCCAACATTCTGGTTGAGCCTGGGGTGTGCCATGTACGGCACAGTGTGGCATGATGTGTATGTTGGCTTTGGGAGGTGGGGAAGTGCTGGCCTCTTCCTTGTGCATCATTTGCATACCTGCTTTCACAGAAAACTGAGCATAGGGCATGGGCTTCGAGAACAACTGGACTGTTTCTCTCATGTGGGTTAGTGACAGAAGAGACCTAGGAGTACGACAGCTTCCAATCCTGAGTAGCCCATAAAGGAGTCCACAAGGTAAGTGTCTTGTTTAGGGATGAACCACACGGGTTAGGTTCAGCTGGGACACTCCATTCCCAGGGAGACTCGGATACCAAAATGTGTTGGCGTTTATCAGAAGTGGATAAAGTTTGTCGTTCTATCCCAAGTGATTGTAGGTGAGGGTGTGGTTTCCACCCTAACCCTCAGACACTATGTCCCTGGGATTTTGCTGGCTAGATCGATGATAACATACACACACACACACACACACACACACACACATATATATATAGAAAGAAACCTTGGAAATCTGAACAAAATAAGTGACTACTCTAAACTGAGGTCCAACACACAAACCCTGGTAGACACACATACTGAAGGGGATTCTCAGGTTAGCAGTTGTATACAAAAGGCACTGGATGATCAGAGCTACTAGCACTGGGGCCTGTTGTGTAGCTATTAATTGTTGAGAGGCATAGCAATACCAGGACAAGTTTTACCATGGCTACTCAATGTTCTCCCTCTTTTCTAGCCTCTAAACCCAGAGGAGAATGTGCTTGAGAAACAGGCACATGTGTAGACGGACTTGTGGGCTTATATTGTATCTCCTAAAGACTCACCCCATGGCACCTAAGGGCCAGAGTGCATGCCATTTAGGCCATCTGTCCTGTAAAGGTGATGAGATAGCCTTGGTACTCAACAAACCGTTGGATTTCACTAGTTCACTGAAGAACTAGTGTCCAAATGATATCAACATTCTTGTGACGATGCCCTTGCTAGAAGCCTAGAGAACCTTCCCATTGCTCTGGAGCTTCCCACTAAGGAAAGGGAATCCGTGAGCTTTTGTGGGAGGAGTATGTCCAATAGTACCCACCCTATGCTCGCCAATGATACTCCTTCACTCCGTTCCATGCAGAACTCGCTGCACACTCGGATGCAGCAGGTCTCTGCAGGTATGGACCTTTAGCTCAACTTCACTTACCCCTCTTCTGTATCTTCAGAACTATTTGTTTTGGGGGAAGGCATCTTAGGATGCACCATGATTTTGATGTTTCTGGGGAGAAACCATCAGTAGGGCTGTTTCTCTCAGAGAAATATTTAGTGACCAGTAATGTGAGAGAAGAAGGCAATTCTGGGGGCATGTGCATGTTATCCTTTAGCATCTTGTGTGATTTTTCTACCATCACTCTCTTTCTGGACACACCACACCTCATCAGTACCTTTATTTCATTTTATTTGCACACTGAATCATGGCCCCTGTGCGTACACATTACATCACAGCTAAATGAATCAGCTAAATGAATCTCTGGGATCTTCATAATCGTGAAGGTTGGGCTCCATCTTGCTAGAGGTAAGTTGGAATCGTCCATGACTTTTTCTCTTTGGGGTCGTCTAGTGATCATAGAATGCAGTCCTTCTGGCTTTCACTCATGATTCAGTCAGAAGGAGGGGGCACACTGACATGTAGTGTTCGGCCCGTATGCTCCGAAAATGGCTGAGTATAGTTCACTCTTTTATTTCCTGGTGCCGTGGACCTCTTGCACTGCTTGGGAGTACTGTTTTCTAGGTACAAATAGAGGCTTGAGCTTTTAACCCATTGAACCACCCTGCATGGTGGTGTTTCCTGGCGTGTCCTGAAATTCTCAATTGGCGTGAAGTGCCTGTCTCCCTCTGGGGTTGTATTGGCATACCTGCTGCCTTTCAGAGAAACTTGTAATGTCCAGTAGTATAACAGATGAAGGCAATTCTGGAGGCATGTTCGTGTTATCCTTTAGCATCTAGTGTGATTTTCAACCATGACGTAGACCTCCCTCTGGCATCGAACATTATTCATCTCACCAGTCCGTTTATTTCGTTTTCTTTGAAGAATAATTGCGGCAACTGTATGAACATATTGCATCACGACTCAATGGGTCTGCCATTAGCCCTTATCACCTGGCTCTTCTTAGTTATGAAGTTTGGGTTCCATCTTTCCCGAAGTGAGTTCAAATCGTCCTTGACTTTATCTCCTTGGGATCCTCTAGTGATCAAAAAATGTGGTCCTTTTGGCTTTCAAATGCGATTTTACCAGAAGGTAAGGGCACGCTGACACAAAAGTGTTCGGACAGAATGCTATCAATACAGCTGATTACAGTCCTCCCCTTTCTTTCGTGGTGGCATGGACCTCTTATGCTGCTTGGGAGTTCTATTGTCTAAGTTTGAGTTGAGCCTTGAGCCTTTAACCCTCTCAATCACCCTGTGTGGTCATATTTCTTGGCGTGTCCTGGCATGCGCATGTGGGGTAAAATGCCTGTCTCCTTTTCGGGTCTTATTGTCATAACTGCTTTCAAAGGAAATTGACCATCGTAAGTGTGCTTTGAGGACAAGAAGATTGCTTCTCTCATGTCATTCCCTAACAGAAGAGACCTAGGAGAATGTCAACTGCCAATCCTGAAAGCCACTGGAAAGGTCCACAAGGTTAGCATCTTATTCATGGATGAGCCACATAGGTTTGGTTCTTCTGTGACACCCCATTCCCAGGTAGACTCAGACAGCACTATGTGTTGCATTCATTGGGAGTCTGTAGTGTTTGTAATTCCATTCCAGGTGACCAAAGATATGAGGGTGTGGTTTTGGGCCCATCCCTCAGACGCCAGGCCCCTGGTATATTTTTGGCTGGATCGATGATGACTTAAAAAAAATAAAGAAACCTTGGAAATCTGAACAAAATGAGTGACTACCCTGAGCTGAGGTCCAGCATGTGAACTCTGGTAGATGCACATATTGAAGGGCATTCTCGGGTCAGCACTTGTATACTCAAGGCAATGGGTGTTCAGAGGAATAACACTGGAGCCTGGGTGTGTAGCTGGGAATTACTGAGAATTATAGCAATTCCTGGGACAATGTTTCTGTGGCTGGTCAGTTTTCTTCCTGTTTTCCGACGTCTTTACCTAGAAAAAAAAGTGCTTGAGAAATGAGCATATGAGTAGGATATCCTGTGGCCTTATTTTATTTCTCCTAGAGACTTGGCCCGTGGCACCTAAATGCTAGAATGCATGCCGTTGAGACCATCTGTTTCGTAAAAGTTTGAGATGGCCTTCATGCCCACCAAATAGTGGGATTTCACTTTGATTGACGAACTGGTGTCTGAAAGATGTTATTTATGGAATGCTGCCCTCAGTGGAAGCTTAGGGAACCTTCCCATAATTATGAAAGTTCCCTCTGCAGGAAGGGAACCTATGATATTTTGTGTAATGAGTATTACCCATCAGACCCAACACATGTTAACCAATGAGAATGCTTCACTCCACTCCATGCAGCACCCAATGCACACTCAGATGGAGTAGGTTTCTGTGGGGCATGTACCTAGATCTCAATTTCACTGTCCCCTCCTCACTATCTACAGAACTATCCATTTTTTGAGGGAAAGACATTTTTGGGCTGCATCCTTGATTTTGATGATTCTGGTGAACTACCATCAGCAGGGCTATATTTCTCAGAGAAACTTGTAATATCCAGTAGTTACGAGTTGGAGGTGATTGTAGAGAGATTTGCATGTTATCCTTTAGCATCTATTGTGATTTTTTACCATGACATTGACTTCTCATGTACATCAACATGCTACACCTAACCAGTGACTTTATGTCATCTTCTTTTAAGAATGATCACGGCCACTGTATGGACATACTGCATCACAGTTCAATGGATCTGCCATTTCTGTTATCACGCAGCTCTTAATCATGCAGGTTGGGTCCCATCTTGCTCAAGGTGAGTTGGAACTGTCCTTGACTTTTTCTCTTTGGGGTCCTCTATTACCACATAATGCAATCTTTCTGGTTTTCATTCATGATTATCAAATTGGGAATTTGACAAACTTCACTCATGATTGTCAGAAGTTGGGGCACTGTGACACATAGTGTTTGGCTCATTTGCTATAAATATGGTTGACTAAAGTCCACCCATTAATTTCCTGGTCGTGTGGACCTCTTGCAGTACCTGGTAGTACTGTTCTCTAGGTTTGAATGGAGCAATGAGCTTTTAACCTGTTGAACAGTGAGGTCATGTTTCTTGGCGTAACCTGGCATGCGCAGGTGGGGTATATTGCCTGACACGTTCCTGGATCTCGTTGGTATACCTATATCACAGGATATTGAGCATAAGCGGATATTTCACAGGATATTGAGCTTCAAGGACAATAAAATTGCCTTCATATGGGGATTCATGACAGAAGAGACCTAGGAGAAAGTCAGCTGCAAATCCTAAAAGCCATTGGAAAGTTTCACAAGGTTAGCATCTTATTGATGGATGAGTCACACAAGTTAGGTTCATCTAAGGAACTACATTCCCAGGTAGACTCAGATGCAACAAGGTGAAGTCATTCACTGGGAGTGGTGGGTGTTTGTAATTTGATCCAAGATGACTGAAGATGAGGGTGTGTTTTGAAACCCATCCCACAGACCCTAATCCCTAGGATGTTTGGGACTGGATCGATGATGACTTGAAAAAAAAATAAAGAAACCTTGGAAATCTGAACAAAATGAGTGACTACCCTGAGCTGAGGTCCAGCACACGAACCCGGGTAGACGCACGTCGTACTGAAGGGGGATTCTCAGGTCGGCAGTTGTAGACTCGAGGCCCCGGGTGATCAGAGCCAAACACCGTGACTTGGGTGTGTGGCTGGCAATTGCTGAGAGGTATAGCAATACCTGGGAAACTGTTCTGAGGCTGGCCAGCGTTCCACCGGCGTTCCCGCCTCCGTCCCTAGATAACGAGGGGCCTGAGAAATGGGCACGTGTGTGGGGTGCCCAGGGGCCCCATTCTGTGCGCCCTAGAGCCTCAGGCCACGGCATCTAAGTGCAGAGTGCACGCCGTGGAGGCCATCTCTCCCGCAGAGGAGACCAGATGGCCTCCGGTGCCCCCAAAGCGTGGGATTTCACTGGTAGTGATGAACGGGTGCCCGAAAGATATCGGCATCGCTGGGATGCTGCCCTCAGCAAACGCGTAGGGAACCTTCCCGTTACTCTGGAAGTTCTCTCCACGGGCAGAGAACCCGTGAGCGTTTGGGGATGAGTAGCTCCCATCGAAGCCAAAACATGTTAGCCAGTGAGTCCGCCTCACACTGTGCCGTGGCGAACCCAGTGCTCACTTGGATGGAGCAGGTCTCTGTGGAACAGTACCGAGAGCTGACCTTGTCTGTCACCGCCGCTGTTTGCTCAGAATCATCCGTTTTTGGGGGGTTTTTGTTTGTTTGTTAGTTAGTTAATTAATCAATTAATTAATTAATTGATTAAGCAATATATTCATTTATTTTTCCGGGGAACGACATTTGAGGCTGCAGCCATGGGTTTGATCGGTGTGGGGAGTCAGCAGCAGGAGGGCTATGCCATTCAGAGAACCCCGTACTGTCCAGTAGTGTAAGAGATGAAGGCGATTCTGAGGGCGTGTGCACGGTGACAGTGAGCATGTAGTGTGATTTTTTTCCACCGTGACGGACACCTCCGTCTTGCCTCGCGCATTGTCGCCTCACCACTTTCTTCCTTCTATTTCCTCTAAAGCCTCATCGTGGCCACGGTATGGACGCATTGCCTCGCGACTCAGTGGGTGCCGTTGCCCTTATCGCCGGCCGCTCCTTAGTTGTGAAGGTCGGGTCCCGTCTTGCTCAAGGTGGGTTGGAGTGACCCTCGTCTTTTGCTTGGGATCGATCCCCCAGTGATGATGCAGTGCAGTCCTCGAGGCTTTCCCTCGTGACTTGACCAGGAGGTGGGGGCACCTTGACGCCTAGCATTTGGCCCTTGGGCTCCGAATCGGGCTGATTCCAGGCCGACCCTGTTATTTCCTGTGTCCGGGGACCTCAGGCCGACCTTGGCAGTACTGTCCTCCAGGGTCGAGTGGAGCCTTGAGCGTTCCGCCCATGAAATCGCCCTGCGTGGTGGTATTTCCTGGTTCGTCCCCGCACGGGCGGGTTGGGGAACGCGCCGGGCACCTTCCCGCTTTTGTGGACATACCTGCTGTCACAGGAAATGGAGGACAGGGAGAGCGTGCTTCGAGGACAAGAAGATTGCTTCTCTCCCGGGGTTTCGCCACGGAAGAGACCTTGGAGGACATGAGCTGCCCGTTCTGCGAGCCACTGGAAAGGTCCACAAGGTAAGCGTCTCGTTCGGGGTTGACTCGCACCGGGCAGGCTGGGGTACTCCGCGCCCAGGGAGACTTGGATGCCGCAGTGTGTTGCTGCTCCCTAGGAGTCGTTGGCCTTTGTCTTTCCATCCCAGGCGACCGGAGGAGAGGGTGCCGTTTGGGGCTCAGCCCTCACACCTCAGGTCCCCGGTCAATGTGTGGCTGGATCGATGATGACTTAAAAAAAAAATAAAGAAACCTTGGAAATCTGAACAAAATGAGTGACTACCCTGAGCTGAGGTCCAGCACACGAACCCGGGTAGACGCACGTCGTACTGAAGGGGGATTCTCAGGTCGGCAGTTGTAGACTCGAGGCCCCGGGTGATCAGAGCCAAACACCGTGACTTGGGTGTGTGGCTGGCAATTGCTGAGAGGTATAGCAATACCTGGGAAACTGTTCTGAGGCTGGCCAGCGTTCCACCGGCGTTCCCGCCTCCGTCCCTAGATAACGAGGGGCCTCAGAAATGGGCACGTGTGTGGGGTGCCCAGGGGCCCCATTCTGTGCGCCCTAGAGCCTCAGGCCACGGCATCTAAGTGCAGAGTGCACGCCGTGGAGGCCATCTCTCCCGCAGAGGAGACCAGATGGCCTCCGGTGCCCCCAAAGCGTGGGATTTCACTGGTAGTGATGAACGGGTGCCCGAAAGATATCGGCATCGCTGGGATGCTGCCCTCAGCAAACGCGTAGGGAACCTTCTCATTATTCTCGACCTTCCCTCTCTGGGATGTGAAGCCCTGAGTTTTGTCAGAATTGTATATTTTATTGGACACAGTACATTCTTTCCCATCAGACTGCTTCACTCCACTGCATTTTTAATCATAGGCCTCCTCAGATGGAGGAGTTCTCTGTGGGGCCTGTACCTAGAGCTCAACTTCAGTGCTTCCCATTCTGTGTTGTTAGAACAAGTTTTTGTGTTTGTGTGTATTATGACTTTTTTGGCTGTATACGTGATTTGATTCATTAAGTAATATCCATTAGATGGATTGTTTCTCTCAGAGAAAGTTGTTTTTTCTTGTGGTGTAATAGAGTAAAGTGATTTGTGGGGGCTCGTTCATGATATCTTTTAGCGTTTATCATGGTTTTTCACCATGATATAGACAATTGTCTTGCATGGGACATATTTTTCTCACCAGTTCCTTTACTTTATTCTAGTTTTCTGACTTAGTTGTGGCTAGTGTATGCAAAGGTTGCATTATAACTCATGGTTTCTTCCTTTGCATGTATCTCCCAGTTCTTTGCAGTCGTAAATGCCCATTCCCATCTTACCTGTGGTGAGTTCGATAAGTTTTTGACTTTTTCTCTTTAGAATTCTCTATTCAGCATAGAATGCAGTCTTTCTGGCTTTCATTAATTAGTTGACCAGCTGGTGGTGACATGTTGACAGAATGCGTTTGGCCTTTGTCCTCTGAATGCAGCTTATTACAGTCCTCCTCTTTATTTCCTGGTGGCGTCAACTGTGCTGTGCTTGGGAGTACTGTTGTCTAGGTTCCAGTGGAGATTTGATTGTCCAGCACACAGAACAGCTCTGTATCGTGGTGTTTCCTGGCATGTTTACCATGGCTGGTCAATGTTCTTTTTGTTTTTCATCTTTTATATCAAGAAGAAAAGGTGCTTGAGAAATGGGCAAATGTGTAGAGATTTCTACAGCTTGGGCAGGTGGAGGAAGATGCTTGGCTGCTTCTCGTGTCCTGTTGGCATGCCTTTCACAGAAAATTGAGCATAGGGAGTGGGATTTGAGGATGTGGATTGCCTCTCTCATGTTATTTCATGAATTAAGAGCCATAGGAGAACATCAACTAGAAATCCTGAAAGCCCTTGGATAGGTTGACAAGGTAAGTCTTTTGTTCAGGGATCCGCCTCACAGGTCAGGTGTATCTGGGACACTACATTCCTAGAGTGTTGGCATTCATTGGGGTGGGTAGTGTTTGTCATTTCATCCCAGGTGACTGAAGGTGATGATAGGGTTTCCTCCCTACCTCTCAGTCGCCAGGTCACTGGGGTATTTATGGCTGGATCAATGATGACTTTAAAAAAAAAATGAAAGAAACCTTGGATCTGAACAAAATGAGTGACTACCCTGAGCTGAGGTCCAGCATGTGAACCCAGGTAGATGTATATGTGGAAGGGATTCTCGAGTGCATATGTATACACAGGGCACCTGGTCATCAGATCATTAACACTGTGGCTTAAGTGTGTGGCTCTGAATTGTTGAGAGGTATAGCAATACCTGGACCAGTTTTACCATGGCTGGTCAATGTTCTCCTTGTTTTCCATCCTATACATCAGAGGAAAAGTGCTTGAGAAATCGGCATGTGTATAGAGTCCTATAGGCTTATTCTGTGTCTTCTAGAGACTTGACCCATGGCACCTAAGGGCCAGAGTGCATTCCCTTGAGACCATCTGTCCCATAAAGGTGATGAGATGGCCTTCATACCTGGAATAAAGTGTGATTTCAATTTTACTGAGAATTAATGTCCAAATGATTTTGGCATTCATGTGATGCTGACTTCAGTGGATGTCTGGGAACCTTCCCATTGCTCTGGAAGTTACCTGTCTGGGAAGGAAACCCATGAAGTTCTGTGGGATGAGTTCATCCTGTTGGACCGAACACATGTTAGCCAATGAAACTGCTTCACTCTGCTCTAGGCGGAACCCAGTGTGCACTGGGATGGAGTAGTTCTCTGCAGGGCATGTACCTTTAGCTCACTTTCAATGGCCCCTCTTCTGTATCCTCAGTACCATTCATTTTTGGGGGGAGAGACATATTGAGCTGCATCCACTATTTTGATGGGTCTGTGGAGTAATCATCCAGTAGGGCTATGTCTCTCAAGAAATTTGTACTGTCCAGTATTGTAATAGATGAAGGTGGTTTTGGATGTGTGCATGTTGTCCTTTAGCATCTAGTTGATTTGCCACCATGATGTGGACCTCCCACTTTCCGCAGACATTCTGCATCTCACCAGTTCCTTTCTTTCTTTCTTTCTTTCTTTTTTTTTTTTTTTTTTACACTGAATTGCGGCTGCTGTACAAACGTATTCCATCACAACACAGTGGGTCTGCCATTGCCCGTATCACCCAGCTCTTCATAGTCATGAAGGTTGGGTCCCATCTTGTTTGAGGTGAGTTTGAATCATCCTTGACTTTTTTCTTTGGTGTCCTCTAGTGACCATATACTGGATCCCCTGGTTTTCACTCATGATCTGACCAGCAGGTAGGGGAACCCTAACTGTTAACGTTCAGCCTGTATGGCCTGAATATGACTGATTACATTCCTCCCCTTTATTTGTGGTGTGGACCTTGTGCACTGCTTGGGAGTACTGTTCTCTAGATTTGAGTTGAGCCTTGAATGTCCAACCCGTGGAACAGTTATGTGTGGTGGATTGTCCTGGCATGTCCCGCCATGGGTAGGTGGTGGAAAATGCCTAACTCCTCTCAGGTTCTGTTGGCATACTTGCTTTCACAGGAAATTGAGCACAGGAATGGGCTTTGAGGACGAATGGATTTCTTCTCTCGTGTGGTTTCCTGACAGAAGAGATTTAGGAGAACATTAGCTTCCAATTCTGAATGCCTTTGGAAAGATCCACAAGGTAAACCTCTTGTTTTGCATGAACCACACAGATTATATGCATGTGTGACACTCCATTCCCACAGAGACTTGGATACCAGAATGTGTTGGCATTCATTGGGAGTGGGTAGTGTTTGTCATTCTATCCCAGGTGACTAAAGGCGAAGGTGCGGTTTCTGCCCCATCCCTCAGACCCTCAGGTCCTTGAGCTGATGTCCATCATGTGAACCTTGGTAGGCTCACATGTGGAAGGGTATTTTTGTTCAGCATTTGGGACTTCAGGTGGCCTTGGGCATTAGAGCTATACCTCTGTGATGTAGGTGTTGAAGTGAAGGTGGCCGTGAAGTCTTGAGAGGTATAGCAGTACCCTCTACAGTTTTACCATGGCTAGTCAATTTTTTCCATTTTTCCCGCCTCCATATTCAGAGGCAGAGGTGCCTGAGAAATGGGCACGTGTGTAGTGGGTCCTGTCACTTACTTTCTGTCTCCTAGAGACTTGCCCCATGGCAGCTAAGAGCCATTCTTAAAGTCTACCTGTCCCTTTAGCACATGTGAATCCGTTTCTTTCTGGTGATGGTAAGATCTCACCTCTCCTAATCAACTGTCGCTCCAGTTTTTTGATGTTCAAGAGAAACTTCTCACTGGGACCCTTCTTTTATCTTTTTCATTTCTTAGTATCGGGTCTTCCCAGGAATGGAACCTGTGGGCTTTTGTCCCTTTTGACCTGACACATATTAACTCCTGATGCTGCTGACCCCCCCCTTTGTGTAGAACCTCCCACATACTATGGTACAGTAGAGTTGTGTTTCCAGTTCTCTTTAAGGTTCATCTTTTTTCAGAGCGGTTTTAACTATAGGGTGTGTGCCGTCGCTGTAGAGACAGGCAGAAGAAGAGAAGTTACCCACTAGGTGAGATGCCCTGTCATAACCCCTTTCTTCCCATCTCCTCTCTGGATTTCGGGCATGCATACACATGCACTTGGCGTGAGTTTGAAGCCACAAGGTCTGAGACTTGAACCACAGTCTACCGTGTGGTAGTCCAGCAACATAACTCTGGGTTAATTTAATGGATCTCCCAGTTTTTTTAAAAATTATGTCATATCTTGTGTTTGAGGGGAAATTACCTCCTTAAGTCTTGATTGTGAAGAGGGGACCAAGTTATTTGCAGCAACTTTCTAATCTCATGTTTTTGGTGGTTTTGCATAGTGTAAGAGGAGAAGCCCATTTTAGGTTTGTGGATGGCCCATGGCTATCCTGTGTTGGCGTTTGTCCTTCGTGTTGATCTCTATCTTTCTTCTCATATGTTGCGTTTCATCAGTTCTTTTTTTTATTTTCATACTTCGCCGCTCCAGTTTTTTGATGTTCAAGAGAAACTTCTCACTGGGACCCTTCTTTTATCTTTTTCATTTCTTAGTATCGGGTCTTCCCAGGAATGGAACCTGTGGGCTTTTGTCCCTTTTGACCTGACACATATTAACTCCTGATGCTGCTGACCCCCCCCTTTGTGTAGAACCTCCCACATACTATGGTACAGTAGAGTTGTGTTTCCAGTTCTCTTTAAGGTTCATCTTTTTTCAGAGCGGTTTTAACTATAGGGTGTGTGCCGTCGCTGTAGAGACAGGCAGAAGAAGAGAAGTTACCCACTAGGTGAGATGCCCTGTCATAACCCCTTTCTTCCCATCTCCTCTCTGGATTTCGGGCATGCATACACATGCACTTGGCGTGAGTTTGAAGCCACAAGGTCTGAGACTTGAACCACAGTCTACCGTGTGGTAGTCCAGCAACATAACTCTGGGTTAATTTAATGGATCTCCCAGTTTTTTTAAAAATTATGTCATATCTTGTGTTTGAGGGGAAATTACCTCCTTAAGTCTTGATTGTGAAGAGGGGACCAAGTTATTTGCAGCAACTTTCTAATCTCATGTTTTTGGTGGTTTTGCATAGTGTAAGAGGAGAAGCCCATTTTAGGTTTGTGGATGGCCCATGGCTATCCTGTGTTGGCGTTTGTCCTTCGTGTTGATCTCTATCTTTCTTCTCATATGTTGCGTTTCATCAGTTCTTTTTTTTATTTTCATACTTCGCCAGTTGACAGAGGGGCCAGTTAGTAAGTCATGGCTGCAGAAGTCACCATGTACAGGATGCCACACGTGTCAGGGCTCCTTCAGATGCGGTAGGACGCACGATTCCGCTCCAGGTGAGATTGAGGCGTCAGTCCGTTCTGCTCTCTGGGCCCACTTGTGGCGTCTCATGGAGCCATCCGGTTCACCGTGACGTGGTTGTTGTGGCAGGTGTTGTGTTTGGATAGTGTCTCCCGTGCACTCTGTTGGACTACCCTGGGTATTTCTCAGGGGAAGCTGCCTTTGCTCTTATTGGGAGTATTGTTGCCAGGGACAGAGGAACAGTAGAATAGGACCTGTGGGCAGTCATTCGAGTACCTGCTGTGGCCTGTACACACAGGCAAATGGTGTCTGACAATCGAAGCTGTGGCTTTGGGGATCCAGTAAAGTGACTCTGTCACCCCTAGAGAAATTTTCATGTGGTCTTATAGTCCAAATCTTGTGCCTGATGTTCCATCTCTTTCATGAGAATTTATTTTGTAATTTTTTTTTTTGGTATTGGGCTGTTTGTCTGAGTTCTGTGTAGTGAAACTATGCTTTTAAACCTGAAAATATTTAGCCATCATGGAAAATGATTGTTTAATTTATCTTTTTGTTCTTCATTGTAACTTTTTATGATTTTTCTTGTTTTGGGTTTATTTTAGATTGAGCAGTTTTGCGCATATATGTCACCGCTTACTTTATGCCACTTAATCAAATACCCTCAGATGTGATATGTTGATGTTCACAATTCATTTTCAATTATTTTTCATAGGCTTCCTTCATATATATGAAGGCCCTGTAGTGGTGATTGGTTATCTATTTCATTTGTGTTTTTCAACGTTGTTTTGGCATTCAGTGTAACTTTTAGAAAGAGAGGTTTTTGCTATAGGGCATGTGTGGTCTCCAGAGAGACAGAGAAAGAGACAGAGAAATCACTGTAGGAGGGATGGCCACACCACAGTCCCTTCCTCTCCATTCTCTTGGGTCTTTGGGAACACACTCACCCAGCGTGAGGTTTAAGCTGCTGGGTCTAAGATTTGAACCGCATTTGACTACATGGGATTCTAGTGATGTAACCATTACGCCATCTGTTGATTCCCAGTGTAACTATTGAGAAAATCTTTTCAAATAGACAATTTTATAGCATGTTGTGATTAAGAGGCACACTCACTTTTTCAGCTTACAGGGATAACCTGGTCAATGCCTGTTGTTAATTCTTGTCACGGTTTTTACCTACACCTTGCATTAGATACATTTTTCTTTTTAGTTCCATTGTTAGCTTTTGTTATTTTGTAGTTGGGGTGAAATGGGTGCTAGAAAGATGAGTTTTCGTCGTCTGCACAGACCCAGGTCACAGTCCTGCTTATTCCTGTGTCTGTGCTGACATAACCTTATGTGGTGCTGGATCAGCACGTGGATAACGGTTAAGGCACTGGATTCCCTCGTGGCCGACTATGGTTCAAGTCGCAGATCCAGCTCCTTGACATTTACACAGGGCACATGTGCCTGTGTGCCCAAAATCCTGAAAGAAGAATGGAAGAGAAGTGGTTGTTGCAACGTGCCACCCTCGCCTGTGCCTCTGCAGCCGGGCCCGCACCCTCGCATTTTATTACCTCCTCCATCGCAAGCCATTGGCTCATTCTTAAAGGTGAAATATTTTGAGGTCAAAATTACAGATACAGCTGGAAAAAAGAAAAATAGTTTTCCATTGCTGTGATTGGAATATGTTTCAGTCTAGTATTTTCCTCGACAATTAAGCAAAGTCAGATAGTCTGGTTATTCTTAATTTCAACTTACATTTACTTTGTCTGGCAACAAATAGACAATATTTTCCTTGGTGGAGTTTAGAGACTAACACAATGACTTTTTTTTGTAACATAGGAAATAATCGCAGAAGAGCGATTCATTCTCAGCTGGTTTAATTTGCAGACACGTAGCAGAATTCCAGCATCTTGTGCCTGGCAGACAGTGAACACAGATGTGTGTGCCCTTCCCACTTTTCACGCGTTTACTCTACTCCCCAGGCCAACAGTGGCAGGCACCAAACTACATGCAAAAGGGCATGTTCTTCTTGAGATGCAACAGTGTCAGACATGGTTTCTGCCATTCCTTCTGCAGGGGCCAGTGTGAATCCCCTGGTAGGTAAGCGTTTTGTTCCCCGCATACTGAGTTACCTCATGGGATCCTGTGACTCTCTCTGAGCCTCTGTCTCTGCTGTGTAGCCCTGACACCTGGGTCGATGGGATGTGCGAGCTGGTGTCTGCGACGCACAGCCGTGTCTCAGAGCAATGTGCTCCAGACTGGATGGTTCCTTTCACCTTTCTGAATCATGTTGTCTTTTTTAGAAATTTGTATGTATATGATGTCTCTACTAATTGGCCTTATTGGAAACTCTGGAAAAGATAGTTACACAGTAACTCTGTGGAAACGGGTCTATCACAGACACTACCATAAGCGAGCTACATAGGCAGAGGTGGGTCTGTGCAGCTCTGCTGCCAGCATGGCCTGCAGTATGGAAGGCCGACCTGCTCGTGTGTGCCGGAGAGACTGACTTCAGCAGTGGACTGTACATGCCGTATTTGGAGGCAGATTACCACTCCGAGTTCTGGACTGGCCTCGTGAATTTGCTCGCCGTAAACAGGCCCTGGCGCCCCATACACAAGAAGTGAAAATGCAGGAAGTGGCTATACCTACTTTGTACTGCTGGAACCTTCTGAGTGATGCTCAGGCTTTCTTTTTTATTTTATTATTATTTTTTTTTTGGAGAGATTTTCTCTATAGGGCGCGTGCTCTCGCCAGACAGAGAGAGACATAGAGATAGAAAGCGAGAAATCACCCCCCCAGGGGGGATGGCCACGCCGCAATCCCTTCTCCTCCATTCTCCTCTCAGGATCTTGGGCACACACGCACACGCGCCCGGGGTGAGTTTTAAGCCACCAGGTCCGGGACGCAAACCGTGGTCAACTACGTGGGAGTCCAGCAACATAGCCATTACGCTAACTGCTGGTTCCCTGATGCTCAGGCTTTCAAGGGCAATTAGAGGACCAAAATCAAAAAAGATGATAGGCTTTTATTGTTCATTTCTCTAGGAAGTGAAAGAAATACGTAACCATTGCACAGTTGGAACTTTTGTACATGTGGCGTCCTCATGGTGCTTGCCAAAAAGTCACCAGGACTTTTTAAAATCTTTTTTTTTATTAAATGAGAGAGCAGTTTTGGATTCATGAGGGCTAGCCTCAACTTCATTGAAATTTTTAGATGTGAAATGATTAAAAATCCAGTGTTTAATTTTTTTATGTGGATTTCCTTGGCTGCATTTTTACGCCCACAGTGATTTTCCAAGTGTTTAAAGAAATCCGAGTTCTAATGAGTGATATGACCCGTGGCGAACTGCAGAGACCAATGTTTCTATGCTAGACTTTGGGTCTCCTCAAAACATGAAAGAAACCGAGGAGACCCATGTGTTAAAGATATGTCTCTACTACTGTGTTCTAAGGAGAACATTTTAGTTGTTCTTATCATATAGATGGTCCATTTGGCGAATTTCTTGTAGCCACTTGTTAATAAATATTCCATCAGGACAGTTTATTTCTCATCTGTAATTTCCCCTGCATTCTGTACATTAGAAGTGATACTGATGGAAAGGGACATTTTGCCGTGTGGACATTTTAACTCTATACCAAAGAAGTGCTGTTTTTGTCACTTAGGGAATGGTCATGCTACAATCCCTTCTCCTCTATCTCTCCCCCTTTTTGGGATTTTGGTCATGCATGCATGTATACCTGGTATGTTTCTCAAGAGTCTGGGTCTAGGACTTGAGTGACACACTCATTAAAAATGGGCATTAAGCCTTTTGAGCAACTCTTTCTCTGCTCACTCAAGCCCACTTCTACCTCTTAGGACTGTCTTTTTTCTCTGGGAAAGATCAAAATGTTGCACTCCAGGTCCAGCAGGTGGTATGGTAGTTAGGGCACTGTACTCCCACATGACTGACCATGGCCAGTCCTGAACCTGGTGGGTTACTTTCTCACTTTTCCTCTCTGTCCCTCTCTGATGAGTGCACGTGTCGTATTTCTTGTTTTATTAGAAGTGATACGTCTCTCTTGTTTTTTGGGTTTTTTTTTTTCCACTTCAGAATATGATTTCCTCAGAACTGTTTTTGGAATGACTGAAAAGATACCAGTAAAATTCTGGAACAGGACCCCTTAGAACAGAGCTTTTTCATCTACACTTTGTCTAATAGCCACCCTTTAAAGGTAAGGTTGTAATTAGAGTAGTCCTTTCTTTCTAGGAAAATCCATTTCTGGGTAGAAAATGAGATGTTAATTTTCTCAAAATGGGTGATTTTTTGGGTTATATCTTATCAATTATAAGGGCCAGATTGCATACTTATTTAAAAGGCAGGTTTTTCTGTATATCATTATATCTTTTCTATATCTCAGTAAGTTTACTGTTGGGTCATCAGAAAAGTCATGACATATTTTTGCAAAGAAACACTTAGAAAACTGTCTCTTTTTTTTTTCAGTAGTTTTTTTTTGCCTTAGGGCACATGTGCCTGCTAGAGAGAGACATAGACAGTGAGAGGGAAACTGAGAAATTACTCACTAGGAGGATGGCCACACTAAGCTTCCTTTCCTCCATTCTAGGAAAAAAACAAGATTCCCAGGATCTTGGGCACACACGCACATGTGTCCAGTGTGTGTTTTAAGCTACTGGGTCTGAGACTCAAACCATGGTTGGTCATGTGTTCATCCAGTGGTTATTCCATCTGCTAGCCCTGTAATAACTTTTCCAGTGACCTAAATTTATTTTTTGGAGAGGTTTTTGCTATAGGGCGCATACGCTCTCCAGAAAGGCAGAGAGACAGAGAGACAGAAAGCAAGAAATCACCCCATAGGGGGAATGGCCACACCACAATTCCTTGTCCTCCATTCTCCTCTCGGGATTGTGGACACACATGCACACATGCCTGGCGTGAGTTTAAGACACCAGGTCCAGGTCTCAAACAGCAGTCGACTACATGGGAGTCCAGCAATGTAGCCATTATGAACTGCTGGTCCCTCCAGTGACCTAATTTTAACCATGAAGATTTCCTTAACTTTTCTTCTCTTACCTGATAGACTGTTCTGTGTTATGGCTGGATCCATTGTGGGGTCAGAAAACTGTATATTACATTAGATGCAGTAAATTTTCTGTACCAGATCAGAAGACTGACAAATAGTTTTGTCTGAACTAATTGATCAAATAAACAAGTGACTTAGAACTTAAAAGAGCCAAATACAGAGGGTAAGAGACAGACAAAGGTTCTGAGGTGATTGAAGGCATTCACACTTTTTTAGCCCAGCAAAGGGAAGAAACCCCCACACTGTCTGGTCTCCTTGGTGTCAGAAAGTTTGTTTGTTTTTGTTTTTGCCATAGGGAGCATGTGCTTGCCAGAGAGAGACAGAGAAAGGGAAAGTGAGACATCTCTCCCCTCCGGGGGTGATGAGGGTAGCCGTGCGGCAGTCCCTTCTCATCCTCCTGAGAGTCTAGGTGTGTACATGCACGCACCAGGCATAAGTTTCAAGCCACCAAGTCTGGGACGAAACAGGGTTAGCATGTGGGAGTCCAGCACCTTAGCCCCTACACCACCTGCCAGGACTGATGTTAGGAAGGTTACTCACATTTCAGACCAGAGTGGACCCCGGTAGCAGTTAACTTGGTTTTCTGTGTATTTTGGGCATGTTTGCTCCAGCACATAGCAAAGAATTCAAGCAGGACTTCCTAATCCTAACCCTGACTCCTTAGGCAGTGCTCCTCACCACTGCTGCTTTCCACAGTGTCCTTGCAGGTGACGGGTCCCCGTTCAGGTGGATTTGTCAGAGCAGCGATGACCTGTGCCAGCAGCCTCACCAGTACAGCAAGACCGCCGTCCTTGTGCACGGAGACTCCGCTGTCCCGGGTTGCAGTGGATACCACCTGCAGATAAGAAATGCTTAACTGAGAAATGCTCGTGTTGGGATGTCGTCGATGAGACGTTAATTTGGGCATGGTGACTGTTTCCCTTGCTGCCACTTGACTCAACCCCAGGAGCCTCAGTAGAGGAAATAATTTTACCCAAGAAGCTCAAAATGGTGGAATTGCTCAGTGCTCCCATAAATACACAGTTAGCATTTTTGTTTGCCACATGGTAAATTTTTAAAAATAGGATACATTAAAAACTCTGCATGATTTTTTCCAAAAATCTGAAGTATATTTAAATAATGAACTTATAAATTAATTGCCTTCTTTTCTAATTCTGTCCCCATAGTTTTCCTCTATTAACAAAACTGTGTGTATTCTTTTAGTGAATAGAAGCACACACACACACACGCACACACACACACACACACACACACACATTATCTGGGGGGGAAGGTGCTCTTAGTGGTGCCGTATTGTAATACAGTCTTCTTCAAATTGCCTCTTCCATCAAACAGTCTTCCCAATGGCCTTTTTCTATTTCAGTAATACATACACATCTGTGTCATTTGTTCAATGACTGCATGCCTGTTTTGTAGATGAAACATAATTCAAATGTTTTAAGCATTTCTCATTTATAAATATTTATGTTAGCACCAAATTTCTGTGCAATGAAACACCCTATATATCAATAATTTTGCATTTGTCTATTATTTCATAATAAATTATTTAGCAGTTGGATTACTGGGATTAAGAAAATACACACTTCAAATTTTGAAAAATATTGCAAGATTTCTTTTAAAAATGTGGTTAACAACTTCACCCTTCTATGGCAGTGAGTGAGACTGCCACTTTCCCATAACCTGACAGATGATGGGTTTTGGAAATACTTAAAATTTTTGCCATTGTGAACACCCACACTCTTGTCTTAAGTTGTATTTATTTTGTTTTTAGTTTGATCATTTTTTTTCATGTTTATTATTCCTTTGTCTTTTTTAATTTCTTCTTTATGTCCAGTTTTGGGGGAGGGGAGGTTTTTGTCTCTTCCTGATTTTGAAGAGCTCATTTACTGTTGAAGAACTACTCTTCGGATTGTCAAGCATTACAGATACGTTTTACACAGTTTTTAACTTTGTTTTTGTTATAAGAATGTCTCTGATTGTTACATGTCCAAGTATGACCATGTTTATTTTTACGGCTTCTGAATTTCATGTCATTTTTCGAAAGATACTTAAGCTGAGTCCATAAAATCCTACACCTATGTGAACTTCTAATTCTTTTGTGTTTTTTAAATTCAAATTCTTCAATCATGAGAAACTTTTTGTTTTGAAATTTTAAAGTTGCCAGGTTTCTTGCCACTCTTTGCAGTGGCTTGCCGATAACTGCCCATCTATCTGTACTGCCATCTTGCGCTGTGCTGTACCTCACCCGTGACTGCTCCATCCTGTGCTGTGGGTCCGTGTCTCTTCTTTGCCTCCTGTCTCATGTGTCTTCTTGTTGGGAGAAATTACAGTTTAGACTGCAATTTCATCAGGTGTAATAAATTAATTTAGGGAACAATTGGTTTTTAATAATACCAAGTGTTGGTATCCAAGAATAAGGTATGTATTTTCCAGTGCTTTTAATTGCTGTTAATGTCTTCAGTTTTGTGAAGAGCATTCTCCATTCACCCTATTTTCTTGATAATTTTTCTGTATCTGAGTCTTATTTAGTTTGGTTTCAGGGGTAAGTGGTCTCAAAGCTACAGTTCAAAATTTTTAAAGGTACACACCAAGTGCTTTGCAAATATTGACAGTTTTGATTTTCTCCCTTCTGACTGATTCAAATTTTAGTTATGTTAACAGACTTTACAGACTGGTACTTTTCAGAGCACTTAAACAACCTTGGAATACTACCTGCTGTTGAATTTACGACCTGTAGTGAGAGCTTCTTGACTGTGACCAGCACATTGTCGCTGGCTGGTCAGTTTCCTTGAAGGACCACCAGAAAGAGCTCTGCTCCAGCAAAGCTGAATTATTAAACTTACCGCAGCAAGGGGAAGCACCACCTCCACAGGGTTTTGTGGTGTTTTGAAAGAAGGAAATTAGTTCTTTAGGGCCAGAATTCAAGTGGTTTCAGGCAGGAGACTAATTCTGAAGGGCGCTATTCAGCACGCAGTGTTCTCAGGTTGTTGGGGAGTGGGGTGGAGATCTCCAAGACAGCCGTGATCGTCTAGTATTTGTCTGGCAAGGGAGGGAGCTGTTGGCCTGTGTAGGGTGTTTTCAGTAAGAGAACTGTTTTCCTAAAGGAGAAAACGGAATTATTTATTGATTTACAGTTTTATCTTGCTTGGCAGATTCTGCTGGGCTGGTATTAGGTCTATTCCCAAAAGGTAAGTTATTTTGATCTGGCTGGTCTTAATCATCCATTTGAGATGCTAATACAGTGAGTATTTTGTCTACAAGGAGAGTCTATCACCCTACATAGCTTTCTAAGCAATTTTAATCAAAACCAGGTGGCAAATGTAATCAAACGCTTTTTGCACAAACAGTTGTACTAGTCTGTTAAAATTCTTTTATAATTGTGGAATAATTCATTTTCTACCATTTAAACTTCTATTCCTTGAATGAACAGCTTCTATTAGGTTAAAAAATTATTAATTTACTGGGCTTATTGGATCTTTCGCAAGTAAAATTGATCTGTGATTTTATTTTTTGCTGCTTTTGTCATGTTTTGGTATCCAATTTTGAGGTTTTGTTAAAATAATTTTAAGGATTTTTCTCCTTATTCTGGACTCTAGAGTGGGTTTAAAAACTCTATTAGTGGTTACGTGAACACATTTGTGAAACCACCTGAGCACTGCTTTGTCTTTGGTGATTTGGAGTGGAAATGAGACTATCTAGATTTTTGCCCACTGTTTTTCTACGGTTATGACTTGTTTTATGTCTTGTTTTTATTTAGCCTATGCTATCCTAGAAAATAGCCATCTATGCAGATTTTCAACATGTCACCGTGAGCACACCGCACCATGTGTCCTCTCGTCGTGCTACTGTGCTTTCCTCTTCCATCGTGCGTCCATTCTCACTCCAGTTCCGATTGTTTCTGCTAGACCCTCTGGTGGGTTCTCAGCAGCACGAGCCCCCTTCTCAGTCAGATCTCTGGTATCATTCATTAGGGTTTCTCTTTTATGTTTCAGTTTATTTATACACTTGTCTGTGTTCTTTTGTTTTCTTTTTCTAATGAATTTCTGAACATGCGTGATCCGTTTACTTTCACTCGTTCCTGGTATGAATGTGTAAACATACAGACCGTGAGGAGGAAAGAGCCGGGAGCCTGTTCAACCAGGAGCTGGGAACCTGCATTCCTGGAACCCACGGCCCACTGTTACCAGTAGTGGCCATATTGGATTTATGTTTTTAAAGCATTTTCAAGTGAAGTAGAGCAATCATATTATTTCTGTACCTTCCAGAAGCATTTTCAAAAATTTACTTTCAAAATAATAGTGTATCTTACAAAATTTAAAACTTACAAAACACTGTTCAGTGGGAGGGGATTTGCCTTCTCAGTGCGGTCCTCCTGGCCACTTCATGTCTCCTTCCTGTGAATAGTTAGTGTTACTGTGTCTCATTGGTCTTTACACACAGGTACACCTACATGCAGCACAGCCTGACGAGTGTGTACGTGGTGGGTCGGTAACACGTCCTCTCACACACAGGTGCACGCGTGCAGCACAGCCTGACGAGTGTGTAGGTGAAGGGTCAGTAACACACCCTTTCATACTGTTCTATAGATTTTGTTTATAATTTATATAATGTGAATTTTCTTAATGTTTTTTTTTAATTTAACTATATATATTTTTTTTTTGAGAGGTTTTTGCTACAGGGCACGTGCGCTTGCCAGAAAGACAGAGAGAGACAGAGAGACAGAAAGCGAGAAATCACCCCCCAGGGAGGATGGCCATGCTGCAATCCCTCCTCCTCCATTCTCCTCTCGGGATCTTGGGCACACACGCACACGTGCCTGCCACCTCCATGGAATTTCCACAATGTAGCCATTACGCTAACTGCTAGTCCCTATTTATGTATTTTAATTTGACCAGAGAGGAACAATATAAGAAAGAGAGAAAGGGAAAGTGAGAAAGCAAGCTGCCAGATCTGGGACTCGAACCACGGTCAACCCTGTGGGAGTCCGGTGCTCTTAACCACCACAACACTTGCCAGTCTGTAACATGAATATTTTAATATTTCAAACAGATTATTGCTTATCAGTGTATGAGGAGAGCTTTCATTTTATTTTTAAATTCCATTTATTATTATTATTTTTTAATTTGACCAGAGAGAGAATGGTAAAGCAAGAATGCAAGCCACAAGGTCCACGACTTTAACCACAGTCAACTATGTGGGATTCCAGCACCATTAACCACCACACCACCTGCCAGCCCCTATTTTACTTTTTTTTTTTTTCCAGAGAGATTTTCCTTTAAGGCATATGCACTCACCAGAGAGCCAGAGGGAAGCAGGGAGACAGAAAGTGAAAAGTCACCCCCCAGGGGTAATGGCCATGCTGCAATCCCTTCTCCTCCATTCTCCTTTCAGGAGTTTGGGCACACATACACTCGCACCCAGTGTGAGTCTTAAGTCGCTGGGTCTCGAACCACAGACAACTCTGTGGGGGTCCAGCGATAAAGAATCATTATGCTCTCTGCTGGTCCCGAGATCTTTTATTTTTAATAGTTTATATTTTACATTGGTGAAATTAACATCGTTACATGTGTAGATCTTTATTGTATGATTCAGAGAGCTTTCTTCAAAGTAGCTACTACTTCACTCAAGAGCCGGAGTATTTTCATCACCCGAGAACCTGCTCTACAGCCGCCTTCCAGCCAAGCAAGTTTCCACAGGAAACAAATATTCCACATTCTGTGATCACAGGTTAGTTGCCTGTTCTTGAAATTAACATACGTGAGATCATGCAGTACGTGAGTGCCCTCCATCCATCCTGAAGACACTGATTCACCCATGCTGTCTTCTAGGTAGGCCTGACATTTCTGTATTTGAAATGGAACGTGTATCCCATTGAATGGGCCCAATGCAGTTGTTTATCCAGTCTTCTGTGGATGGACACCTTTAGTGTTTTCCAGTCATTAGCTGTTTTGAATATGTTAGCAGATCTCTTATGTTAATGTGTAAAAATGCTTAAATGTGTCTCCATTATAAGAGATTTTTACTTACCTATAAGAAACTACTAGAGCTTTCTATAAAGGTGGAACCTTTTCATATTCCCAACCAGTGAGGTTGGAGGTTTCTCAGTTACTGCTCCTTGTCACCAATGCTGGAAATGGTCAGTTTTTACATTTCATTCATTTACATAGAGAAGAGTTATTTCCTTGTGATTTTGCTTTGAAAATCTGTCACTTACGAAAGTAAATACTTTTTTATAAGATGATGATCCACTTGTAAATCTTCTTTAGTAAAGTTTCTGTTTATTTTCCCCCCGCTTTTAACTTCTGATTTTGAAATAATTTTAGCGTTACAGGAAATGTGTAAAAATAGTAGCATTTCTGTTCTTTACCCAGCATTCCTAACATTAGCGTCTTGGATGGCCATTAATCAATCAGTAACCATTACTGAAATCAGGAAATTAGCAGAGATATGAGGCTGTCAGGTCCAAGTTGGTGATTGTCTCCCTAACATCCTA